TATTGTACATAAAATTAAACATTACATCTGGCCAAAATGTATATTACAATAAACAAAAACAAACAAACAAACAAAAAAAACAACTAAAAAATAAGGGATAAAAGAAGTGTTTACATAACTGTACAGATATCGGAAGCCATAATATGAGAAATAATGTCCTAATACTGCAAAATAGTTGCTATACACAATACGCTATGAAATTATAAATGAGCGACAGATAATAATAACGATGTTATAGTAATAGTAGTATGTTCGTAGAACATAATAGTATAATCGAAATACAATAATAGTGTAATCGTACATACACAATATATACACCCAATAATACAATAATAGTGAGAATACAATAATAGTACAATAGTATATATACAATATACATATATTAATATATATATACATATACATACATACAATGCAACAATAGTATAATAATACAATATAGGCTACCCAGCGTCTGATTGAATTGTAAGGAGGAATTGGAAAAGGAGGGTTTTAAATGTGGATAAGGATGGTGCATGGCGGATTTTAAGTGGGATGGAATTCCAAAATGTTGTGGATCGGACAATAAAGGAGTGTTGAAATGAGGCCGATTTGTGGAAAGGGGTATAAAGGTCGGAAGGACGAGATCTTGTGGAGAGGGAGTGGATAGATGACTTGAATTGAAGGAGATTGAATGCGTAGGAAGGACGATGATTATAGATTATTTGGTAAAGGAATGTACCTAGGAAGTACTGTCTTCTGAAGGAGGGGAAGAGCCACCCTGACTCGGCGTAGTAGTGGGAAACATGAGAACGTCTCGGGGTCCCATTGACAAATCGTACTAAGCCATTCATTATTCTTTTCAGTCTGACTCCAAGTTCCGATGAGAGGCCACCGTACACTACACAGCCGTAGTCAATGTGGGGGAAGATGAGGGCGGATACTAGGAGTCTACGTGTGGATATGGGTAGGAGATGGCGGAAGCGATGGAAGAGTTTCAGGATGGAAATTGAACGTCGGGATATGAGGGAAATATGGTGATTCCAGGAGAGGGTTTGATCTATGATAACACCTAAGTTTTTAACTGAAGTGTTGAAGGTGATTTAACTGAAGTATAAACGGATTCATTAGGTTCTATTTACATGGGAATCGATAATAATATCGGTTATCATAAAACTTAATAAAAGTTCACTTAGGAATTTATAAGTGATAAAACAATAAACTTATTTGTTCTATCCAACATACTAAAAAGAAATATTATTTTAAATGTTTAATGGAACATCGTTTGGTTGTAAATGAAGCTAACAGAAAAAAAAGATGGAAAGTATGTGCAGTGTGGATACGCAGTAAAAAGTTATGTTTATTGAGTTTGTTGACGTTTCGACCCAAACATGTGGGTCATCGTCAGGGCTAAAAAATAAAAAATAAAATATAATTTCAGAAAAATTCATAAACATAAAAGAATAGGAGAAGAAAAAGATGAAATATATAAATTAGATACGGTTATATAAACATAATAATAAAAAAAAAACATTGAAATAAGCTAAGAAAATGTTTTTGTTATAAATAAATGTTTTTTTTTTTTTTTTTAGCGCTTTGCAATGTTTTCATTATTTTTATGTTGATATAAGCGCTATCTCATTTGTACGTACCAACTTTATGTTCTTTTATACTTTTATATTTATTATCATTACCTCAGATGATAACCTACATGTTTGTGGGTCGAAAAGTTTTCAAATTCAATAATTTTTTGACTGCGCATCCGGATTATTTTCCATCCTTGCATTTTCAACTGTCGACTATATACACATCTAAGAAAGAAAATAAACTAAGTTATTGAAGAATGTCACATACTCCTATTATGGTACTTAAAATAATAACATCTTTAAAGAATTGCCGATATTATACGATGTAATTAAAATCAATACCATGGTTTGATATTATATCCTGACGAAGTATCCATGTAATTGACAAACCAATCCAATGTTGAATTTCGAAGATTTATGCCTAAACCGTGACCCATTACAAGGACAAGTTGAATCTGTAATTAGTACACATTAGATCCAGAGGAGCAGGCGGATCCATTTAGGAGTTGAGCCTTACCTCCAATGATATATGAACGTCATTAATAACAGTTTCTCCGGAACGGTGACGCATAATTACAACCTCGCGAACGTTCCGACGTTTTCGAATTCGACTTGTTTAGATAATCTGTTCCTATTTTCGATTATATTCAGTAAAATATTAATCTGGTTCTTTTTATTTTGAAGTTAAAACTTCTTTAGGCGAGTTTTGCACTTGTTGGAACTTGTTTAGATCAGGCCCGCCAGTTATTTTATCTAGTAACAGTTACTTATTGATAAATTAAAAAAATATGGGTTAAAGGAACATATGATTTATTTAATAGGAACTTTCTATTACCCAAAACATTAACGTACTTAATGAGTTACTGCAGGTACCTCTTTCGTATTCCTCTTCAGGTAGAATTCATCTTTCTTCAAAGAAAATCCTGGCTCGTTCAAAAATATTCATCGTGTTATCACTTTATAACCGCAATTACACAAACAATATTAAATTAAATAATATTTAAACATGTGATTTTATTTCCATATCAATGGTATCAAGTTTCATAACAACTATTACTAAATATCATTAAAAAATCACTGGTGGGCCTAATCTAAACAAGATTTTTCGTGAAGAGGAAATTAGATTGTTCCGTCAGATCTCCGATGTGTAATAATCGTGTAAAGCTGGATGGAGTCGACTAATTGAAGTGTTTCGGCATATGGGTTAAAATATTTTAAAAACAAAAAAATGGAATTGAATATTATTAGCTAAGAAATTTTTAGCATTTCGTCCTCTTTTTACGAGCTAGTATTAAAAATTGTATCTTAGGCGACATGGTACAGAGGGAAAAAAATAGTGTGGAAAACCATATGGTAATTTAATGATTTTTATCGAAGATATTGATTAAAATAACTCAGAAATTAAAAATCGGACCAGCATACTGTAATTTGTCACCATTTCATTCTCTCTGTAATGGGCTATTATTACAAATTTAATGTTAATGCGACGCCGTCTTAGAGAGGCGAACAAGAAAATGCAGTGTAGAAAACCAAATTATAACGGGTTCTATTAAAATATCTCCGAAACTAAAAATCGGACCAGCATACTGTAAGTGAGAGGAATGTTTAGCATTGCATCCTCTTCATGCAATTAGCTATCATGTATAATTTATGTTTCATATTGATAATCTCACCTTGCTGGTGTTTTTGCTTCTATAGTGTGGTCTAAAGCGCACACCTTAGTTTTTTATTCACAATTGTTGAAATTAGTAATAGTAGAAACGACAATAAGAGTACTGGATGTTCGTTACAAAATATAATGGTATGTGAGGCAAGAGTGGGGTCTCTCATCCAGCTCCTCTTCTACCTTCTTCGGACGTTACCTAGCATGCGTGTTGTGGCCATGTCATTTATGAATATCTTAGGATGTCCTTGTAATATGTCATGGAATCATTTGGAATGGGTGTGTATTCAGCATATTAAGGTCAATGTGTAAGGTAATGGTTCTAACCTACCAAGGTGCTTTTGTAAATGTCTTAAATGTTTTTTCTAAAAAGATATGAAGTTTGTTATTATGAGTCTTTTGAGCTGTTCCAAATCTCTATGATGCTTACTTCAAAACAGGCTTTAGTAAGTGTATACATTCAATTTCTGCGTTACGTTTTAGTTTTGAGTGTTTCTTGACAACAGAATGTAGAATTATAATATAAGTACTTGATTTAGGGTTTTTTGTTTTTATTTTCCTGGTGTACGAGCCCCGTGTAATTTTTTCGGTCAAATGTCAGACCAAGGTAGTGAAGGATGTATGGGGGATCTGTGTACGTTTGGGGACGTAAGACACCCGAATATGTTGTGATAACTTCAATACAACTTTATCAATACAAAAATAAATATATATATCAGGAATTTATAGCTCTATACTCTACACAAAGTGAGACTAAATCGACATGAACAAATAAAAATGGTCAGAAGAGTAATCTGTAATATTATAAGAAGCTATTAAATTAATATTTAATAGAGCTAAACAAAAAGAAAAAAAAATGTAACTATAGAGAAAATTTCATTGACAATCTGTATTTAATTTAGTTAATTTTTATAATTGAAGGATTTAATACACATAAACGATTTGCGGTTGTTATTAACGAAACATATTATTAACATTTACTTGAGGGATATTTGGATTTCACTTTATCGTATTTTACATAAATTTAGCTAACGTAGTTGAACATGAACAAACCGAAAAAGAAGTTACAAACCATGACGGGTTGATAAGATTATCAAATAAAATAGACCTTTAAGATAACGAATTTTAGCAATTATTTTTGGCACGAATGGTTGCCGCCAAAAACACACAGAATCCATGGCGAACTCGTTGAATGAGATTTGGAAAGGGAGGAGAGTTCCGCTGGGCTCGAGTCTGTACCGCTTTGATCTGCGTTGTGCGGATACTCTGAGCAATGCCATTTGAATAATCTTCCACAGCCCACTGAATAAAAGAGGGGATTAAAGTGCCCTAACAACCTTCCGCCACCGAACTTTCTCCTCCTGTCTTGCACTAAGGTCCATTCATCAAGAATTGTCTCTTCGATTTATTTGTTTATTTTTTTGTTCACATCATTGTATCGAATTGAAAGTTTTTGCGGCCAAGATATGATCCAAAGTAAAAAATAAATTAGTTATTTTATTAGATTTTATATTATATGTCTACTTTTATTACAGACCTCAGTTGGTCATTTCCCACGAGAACTCTGAATCGAGATCGCTATAATGTGTGTGACCAATCTCTGATGGAGCTTTATCTCTGTTAGTCCTGCTTGCGCTGAATTGGATTGCAATGTTGTGTCAAAATTTCAGAGCTATGGAGATAGAGAGCTAAATAGAGAACTATTGGAGGTTACATTTCTATTTATATACATTATAATTATTAGACTATGAGGAATATTAAAATAATAATTTCACCGTTTTTTTAACTTCAATATATTTGTAAAATATATATATATATTAATATAAAAATAGACAATCTTATTTAAAATATATCAGAACAACAGGTAGAGGGGACTAGAAGTTATCGCAGTTGAGTCATCTGAAAATTAAAAATTAAATAAATAATGCTACAGAAAGATTAAAGTATGCATATATTATAATGAAATCTTACTTAATATTAGTAAATAATAAATATCTGATGTATCCAATGAACACAGATTCTCTTAACTCTTTTTAGACAAAAAAAAGAAGTATTAATAATTAAATACGGTGGATAGAAGTGCATCAAATAAAAATAAAAAAAAGAAAAGGACCTACTTTTGTTAATGATAATGGTATTTGGATTTCAAGAAGCCTCCACTAATTCCATGGCCGATGATAGATCCTCCATAACCGTAAGCACCAGCATATCTACCTACGATACCAACGCCGAGGCCGCCTCCAAGTCCGGCACCGCCTCCAAGAGCACCACCATCGAAACCTCCACCGCCACCAGATGACACAAGTACTGGCTGAGAGATTGCCACTGGTTGTGGAACAGCGACGAGTACGTCTCTAATAACAGGAACTGCCACTGGACGAGGAACTGAAACGGGAACTGGTATAGACTGAGGGTACGGGACAGGCTGGGGGTACGGGACTGGTACAGGGCGCTCAACTCGTACAGCGACATTCCTGAAAACTGGTACAGCTACAGGTTGGGGCACTGGTACTGGTACTGGTTGGTCCACTGGTACGGATACTGGTTGTGGCACGCCGACAGGTACTGGCCTATCGACTGGAACGGTGAAAGGCTGTGGAACAGGAACCGCTACCCTGTTGTGCACTAACACGTCCTGGCGGATGATGGTACCTGAGGCTGCACCGCCGCCGCCACCACCCCCAAGCAGAACGGCACCACCGAGGCCGCCGCCTCCACCACCACCCAGAGCGACACCACCGAGGCCGCCACCTCCGGCTATTATCTCTGAGCCGCCTCCAAGAACCGCTCCGTGGCCTAGGCTGGAGCCATAGTGGCCGCTGGAGAAGATGCCGCGCTTTTCTTTCTGTTGGCTACCTCCACTCACAGCTACTGCCAGTATCAATGCACCCACCTGAATAAGAAATCAAATATTGAAGAATTAATGTGAACTATAATAATATTTCTAACATGGGAAAGCTTTGCAAATTTATTTGAAAGCGCAGTTGGTTTAAAATAAAATAGTTCATGATTAAGTAAGAAGTAGAAGTCTTGTGATTGATCAAAAGTGTTTCTGTTACTGTTCTCTTGAAACGTGTTTTAACCTTCGTGTATTCATCGACTACGTAGTTTAAGTTTAGTGTACCATTTCATAGTATATAAACACACACACACACACACACACACACACACACACACACACACACACACGCACGCACGCACACACACACACACACACACACACACACACACACACACACACACACACACACACACACACACACACACATATATATATATATATATATATATATATATATATATATATATAATATATATATATATATATATATATATATATATATATATATATATGGTTTACTACAAATCATTTATAGTAAATTTTTATCTGCTCTTTTATCATCATTTTTTTCATTAATTCAATGGTATGACAACATAAGTAATTTATCATTCATTTCAAATTTCATTTAGTATCCCATAGTTTATTGTTTGTAGCAACTATTTTGCAGTATTGTGACCATATTGATCATATTATTTCTTTAATATATCTGTATAGTTATGTAAATATCATGTCTGTATCATTACTGTCTGTAAATATCATTACTTAGTTTTTAGTTATTTGTTTATTGTAATATTTATTTCGGCCAGATGGTATGCTAATTTTTATGTACAAAATGTTTATTCTTAAGGGACTTTGTCGCATAATAACGTTGATTCTACTACATATATAAGTATATATACATGTATAAATATATTTTTGTCTCAATTTGGTTTAGTATATAAGTTTAAAGTAGTTTAAAACTTTTTTTATTTCATTAATTTTTTATTCCTCCTTATAGAACTAAAGGCTGATTAGACAACCTTTTATTGTATGTAACGAAGTATTGTGCTTATTCTAAACTAAATTTGAAAACATTTTTTTCGGAAATAACAGTAGCAATCTATATGTATATATAATCGTTTGAAAGCGAATGATTTTAGAAACATAAAAAGTCGTGGAAGGGAATGGAGGTTGATGAAAAACTGAATAATAATATCTGGAAACTAATATTATTTAACAGAAACAAAATGTTTCCATGGAATCTTAATAGATGCTTTTAAATTTATTTTTAAGCTTGGCAAACCTAAAATATATATAGAACCAAATTATGTATAAGAATTTTTTATAATACTCATGTGAGAGAAGTGTATACAATTTGTACTGTAATTATCTCTAACAATGTTGGTAAAATATATGGTAATAATGTTTTATGTCTTTAAGTAAATAACTTTAGCTGCAATACAATTGGTTGAAATGATTAGATATAATAATATTAACTAGCCATAATTAAGCAGAAATTTAATTTATTATTATGTTGATAAGTAAAAGCTGTGTGATCCATACCGCACCAGATTTATTAAATTAGTTCTATATTTTAAAATAAATTACATGGAAATTTTTACTTCCTTTAGGTTGATTATTTCACAAGTTTAGATACTGTAAATTTAACTTTTCAGTCCAACATACTATTACATACCTTTATTTTATATACTGTAAACAGCTCATTTCTCTGGAAAATTGTTTGTTTTTTTATTGTTTCTCTACCCATATAATCGGCATGTAAGTAATTCCATTCGTTATCTGTATAAACATTATCAATGTGAAACAAAATGTAATAACAATTACATTGTTATTAAAAATGTACAGATTTGATTGAAAAAAAATTTTGTTTCTTTCAAAAAAGGTTCGATAGATATTTATCTATAACAAAAAGTCACGAAGTGTACATCAGATGGCAACTGAAGTTACAAGTTGATATACATATATGACTTTCGATTATTTTTATCGATTTGTTTATACCTCGTTAATTTAAAACTCATTGAGTATATCCCTCCTATATATCAAAAATAACGGTAAAAATAACGGTAAAAACAACCAAATAATAACATAATAAAATAAAATAACTAACAAAATATCTAGTGATTTAGTTTTCTAAAATGTTACTTAATGATTTTTCGTAATAAACCGAGGATCAATTGTTACTTATAATGTCAGTTCTCACATTACCCAAATTGAGATATTTTTATTAATAGCATTGGAGGAATGTGGCGTTCATATAGGATTGAGAAAAGCCATCCTAAGTCTATATGAAGCGCAATGCTTGCTTTTGCTGACGATATGGTAGTGTTCGGAAATGGCTGCCGTAATATGCAGTTTAACCTCAAGATCCTTCTGATTTGAGGAACATAAACATGGAAATCAACATCTCCAAAACACAATTTATAAGGATTGGAAAAAGCAGTGACCGAGGAGACCGGATCGTTCGGTTGGGTGGAATCCGCCTGAAGGAAGTAATGGATTTTAAATACCCGGGTGCTCAACTCAACGTGTAAGGATATATTGATGGAGACATAAAAGAAAGAATTATGGTGGCACTAAAAGACGGTAGAAAAATTCTGCTCCCTCAAGTCAGGCTTCTTGGACAAAAAGGAAGTCTCAACGGCCACTAAGAAGATTGTCTTCAAGAATATCTTCCTACCTATATTAACATATGCAAGTCTTGGACTCTTACTTACAAGAAGAAATGCCAAGCTATGGAAATGCGATATTAAAGGAAAAAAGAGGGGAAAACAAGAAGAGATCGCGTTAGGAATGTGACCAAAATACCTAATCTGGACCTGAGGCTTGCAGAGGAAATAATCCAAGAAAACCAACTTAGGTTGTTTGGAAGTGTTTCGCGAATGGCTGAAAACAGAGTTGCCAGGGCTATTTACGAAGTCAAAGTGGAGTGAAGGTGGTCACATGGGAGACCAAGAAAAAGATGGGAAGAAGGAATTAAAGAAGCCTTTGACAGGAGAGGAATGGACTGGAGTAGGAGAAGACAGCTGGCCCAGGATAGAGATTCTTGGATCATCTATAAGAAGGAACCTCACACTGCTCAGCGATAACAAAGAGGACTGGAATAAGTAAGTAAATAAATAAATAAATAATGCGAAGTTCGGAATGAAAGTAAACGAATCACTATACCTTTTTGGACTGTGATATATTTTAATACATAATGAAACTATAAACGTTTTTTTTTATTTCGTCCTAGTTTTTATGCATCGTATTCGTTATAAATACTTATATTTATAAATTATATATATATATATATATATATATATATATATATATATATATATATATATATATATATATATATATATAATATATGTGTGTGTGTGTGTGTGTGTGTGTGTGAGTTTTGAATAGGAAAATTTTATCTCGATAGCGTTTCAGTGCTATCAATAATATAATTAAAAAAAAAAAAATTCTGTTAGTGTTAGAAGTAAAATAGTATCTTACCAGAGCGAACATGTTGATCGAGCTAAGAACCGGATGAGTGTGTGCCCCTTAGATACACCCTTTAGATTTATATAGTCTTGTTGCCTTACGTAAAACTGGATCCTTGCAACTTGCTGGTACTTCTATGCCCTTTGTTGTAAAGTTCTTCCACCTTTGACGTAATAATTACTAGCTTCCAATGATTTCCAATCATTCTATGAACATTTCTACAATATGACATCTCTAATTATGAAAATAAGTATTTTATTATTTGAAGGAGTTTCAGAAATTAAACTAATGATAAACCCGTCAATCCAGCTCATTCAATAATATTCTAGGTTATATTAACATCAAGAAACTTAAATTGGCCAATGATATATTGCTTTTAAATAACTCAAAAGCAACCCTCCATCCCACCCAGATGACACATTACCTTCACCCTTCGTGAAGATATATATATATCAATTTTAAATTTGTTATTGAAGACATGTTTAACTTTACTCATATTACCTACTTTTTTGAAAATCACAAATTTTGTCTTTTCAGCATTAACGATTAACGAATTTAATTGACAATGCTTGTGCAGGGAAACTAATATCATATTTGTTCCGACCCAACCATTATCATGAAAAACTAAATCATCCAAATATATCAGTCCGAATATTTCGGTTGTATGGTCAATATTTATTCCAGTATATCCATAATTTTTAAAATGATACATTATATCTGAAATGAATAATGAAAATATGAGAGGACTAAGGGAGTCTACCTGAAACACTCCTTGACTGATTTTAACTGATTTCATATTAAGTTCATCCTTTAAGATTATAGTAGCTTGTTTGTATAATTCTCGTAAAATCCTACATATTATTTCTAAAAGGTGTTTTTTGGTCTTCGTCAATTCTTCACCAAATCCAATGATTGAACGCTCATTTTGAAGATATTCTTCTCTTTCACATGCTAAAAATAGCTTAACATTCCCATCCCCCCAAAATTTCAGGAAAAAAGTTATGAACGAAAAGAAACATTATTCGCGAATTCACCACACTCTCTGCTCATGATAATTCCCTTTGGAATATCACCAGAAAAATCCTCAAATCCCATCATATTTCCCACCCTCTTCGACGAGATGATGGCTCCTGGGCAGCATCTGATGAAGATAAAGCCGAGGAATTTGCCAAACACCTTTCCTATACTTTCGCTCCTCATCCAGAATCCCATCCCAGCCACACAGTAAAAGTAGAAGAATCCCTCTCAATACCTATCCCACTCTCCTTACCACCTAAAGCTGTTAATCCCTCTGAGGTCAAATACCTTTTACGGAAAATCACACCTCGCAAATCTCCTGGATATGACCTTCTAACCCCACAGATCCTTCGACAACTTCCATCTAAAGCCATCATATTTCTTACATATATATACAATTGCATCCTACGAACTACCCACTTCCCTCTTTTATGGAAACATTCCACCATCGTCCTCTTCTTGAAACCAGGCAAACCTTCCAACAATACAGCATCCTATAGACCAATTAGCCTACTCCCAATCCTCTCAAAAATTTTTGAAAAGATCCTACTGAAACGAATCCTACCTATAATTGAATCCTATAACCTTCCTACTCATCAATTCGGATTTCGTTCCCAACATTCCACTGTCCAGCAAGGACTCCGAGTTGTTGACCATATATCCTCAACCCTAGAAAGCAAGCAGTATTGCTCGGGTGCATTTGTGGACATAGCGCAAGCTTTTGACCGGGTATGGCACGCCGGATTACTCTTCAAGCTTAAAATCCATCTACCACAGTCCTTATACCTAGTACTCCGATCCTATCTTTCCGACCGCTCCTTCCGAGTTCGCTGTGGCACCGAATTCTCCGACTGTTACTCAATTGAGGCTGGCGTTCCTCAAGGCAGCGTCTTGGGCCCCATCCTTTACATTCTCTTTACCGCTGATATTCCTGTCCATCCCGATACCCTCCTGGCAACTTTCGCTGATGACACTGCTATCCTTTCTTCCAACTCAGATCCTGAAACAGCGTCCGCAAACTTACAAAGGCACCTCTTCCTGATTGAACACTGGTGTAAGAAATGGCGCATTAAGGTAAACGAATCTAAATTTAAACACATTACCTTCACCCTTCGTCGTAATACCTGCCCACTAGTTTATTTTAACTCCATCCAGCTTCCTTTCTCAGATACAGTCCGGTATCTTGGCTTTCTCTTAGACAGACGAATAACATGGAACCCATATACTAGACTTAAAAGACAGGAACTTAACAGACGATATGGCCAGCTATATAGACTACTGAATAGAAAATCTAAACTTTCTGGTGAAAACAAATTACTGATCTACAAGACAATACTGAAACCCATCTGGACTTACGGACTAGAACTATGGGGAACAGCCAAATTTTCTAACATCAAACGCATTCAATCCTTTCAGTCTAAAGTCCTCCGTACAATAGTCAATGCTCCCTTCTATGTAACCAATAAAACCCTACACCATGACCTTAATATCCCATTTATTCTTGATCTTATCCCAGCCAAATTTTCCAAATTTCACCAGAACCTTTCTCATCACCCAAATCCCGTTGTAAAATCCCTATCAAGCACCACCCATCCCTACAATCCCCTTCGTAGGTTAAAGCGGCAGTGGCCACGAGACCTTTTGTAAATATGGATATTTTGGAGTTCTAGCAATGGCCAGATTCTCCACTCAAGTCATGAGTGTCTGTGGCTGTAGCGCTCTTACTCATCCTCCGCTGGTTTAAAATACCAGTGAAGTGGCTGAGGGAGAGGCGTAGGGATCTCCTAAGCCTCCCTTTTCCCTCCACATGTGGAGGGGACAGGATTGGTTCGGAGATCACCTGGCAAATTGTAAATAATGTATGTTTTATATAAGGTGTTTGTTTTACTTTTATTTCTATTTTTATTTACTTATGTGTATATATATATATATTTTTTTTCTTTACTCTTTTGTTCTTTCTTCTTATTCTTTTGTTATTACTTTATTTATTTATATTTTTGTATATACGGTATGAATGCAATCTCTGAACTCTATTATAAGTGTCCTTAACTGTGACAAATTGTAATATTTCTGAATAAAGTGTTTTAATAATAATAAAATTCGCGAATAACTCAAAAAGTACACATTTTTTTTTCTTGATTGTACCCATGATTATTAGAAAGACTACCAAATTACCTACCAAACAAAAAAAAAATGTAAAAAGCGATTAGAAATATGTAAAATTTAAACAATTTGTATTTAAGTGTTGTTTATTGCGTTTATTTGTATTGAAATATTTTTTTAAGGAGAAAGAAGTTGAGATTTGTATTTCGCAACTCGAAAGACTCTCGAATACGAGTTTTCATTGCGATCGAAAAATTAAATTGTTTCTACTTATTTGACCTAAGGGAGGAATAGAGACATAAGGGGGAGGGCCTTTGATATTTTTTCGAAAATCACTAAAAGTTTTATAACTTCAATATTCTTCAACCTATTTCCACGAAATTTTGCAGCGATATAGGGCCTTATAAACTACACGAAATTGAACAAACTGTACCTTCCTTGATTTTACCCATCATAATTAGAAAGACTACCTAATTACCTACAAAACAAAAAAAAAAAAAATCGGCTCCCTTGGCTATACCCAGTTGTCCAATGACAATATTTCCACGGTCTATTCCTTTTCTGAACTTCTGCAAGTAAAAAATCATCTTCTCTACCTGATTTGTTTACTTCTTGTTCCTCTGTTCATTCTGTTAAAACGAGATCCCTGCCCGCAAACTAAGTTAGGTCTCTCTTATCTAAAAAATTACAGTAATATCTCTCTAGTAATAAGCTAATAGGTGACTGCAAGACTGTTACGAGAGTCTTGTGCAAGACTGTTACGAGAGTCTTGCGCATGACCAAGACTGAGTTTGCAAGAACAAGAGTCGTCTCGGTCTCGCATTTGGGCCCAATAAATTTGGCCTCACTGTCAATGAGAAAAAAATATATGCGAAACGGTGGTAGTGGAGACCACGTAGCATTCCTGGACATTAGCTCTATAATTTCCAGATAGTGGAGACTTTTAGATAGATGTTAATAATAGATTTTTGGTAGAGGTTAATTGTTTATTGTAAATGGTAATAAATTGCTAGGGTAAGAGAGTATTATTTTGTTTTATTTTTCGAAGTTGATTGTAAGGGCCGCGGCCTAATAGAGGTCTGTCAGCAGGTGTCCAATCTCTCGTCCTAAAGGGCTTAGGGCTTATTCCATTCCGGGGATAACTTACTCAACGTCCAATTTTTATTTTCTTGCTTACACCTTGTTATGAGATAATTGCTGGATGATAAATAGTGTTAGGATTCCAATTCAGGAAATCCCTTTCTAATAGCATCTAAATCTTTAATCATCAAAATGAAAATTAACTAGATAAAGATTATTATAAATATTTTTATAAATTTATTTTATTACTTATGAAATTGGAATATGTAAACCTACACAGGTCATTTGCCTAAAAAGTATCAATTCTAATATTTATTTTAAAACAAAAATTTTAAAAAAAAGTTATCTTTCATATGACATTTCCTGTAAAAAATTAGTTATCAGTCATACAATAATATGTTGATTTGATGAAATAAAATATCACAAACGTATTAGGATACACTAGGACGCTCTTTCTATATTTATCTGATATAGAAAGATAAAAGTGATAGAACAATTAGGGTAAGCGTCATAGCTAGTTAGAATTAGATTCAAGATGAATGAAATCTAAAAACTCTTAAGTTAGAAATTCGAAGATAAAAAATTTTCGGACATTTTTTTCAAATACACAGTGATTGTAGATTTATTTATTTATAAAATGATATAGACTTTTTCGGCCACCAGGATCATTTACACCCTAAATTACGATTATTAAATCAACTACTAGTAATAAGTAAATAACAAAATTACATATTATGTCATAAAAAATACAATTTTATATTTAGGTCAATCATAAATTTAGGAAATTAAAAAATACCTATAGTTATATATATATATATATATATATATATATATATATATATATATATATATATATATATATATATATTGACACACAAAAAATTCCACCCACTTGATTTTTTCATCTAAAAATATTTCTGCTTTGGATTGGTCTATTGTTTTTAATGAATAAATAGGTAATCTTTTGGTTGTTTTCAATTAGAAATGTTAATATAGAGGACAATAACCCTTAATCCTTAATTCAATGAAATGATTCTAGATTCCA